GTAGTAGTAGTAGTAGTAGTAGTAGTAGTAGTAGTAGTAGTAGTTGTAGTAGTCGTAGTAGTAGTAGTAATAGTAGTAGTAGTAGTAGTAGTAGTAGTAGTAGTAGTAGTAGTAGTAGCAGTAGTAGCAGTAGGAGTAGTGGTGGCAGTAGTCGTCGTAGTCGTAGACGTAGCCGTAGTCGTATTAATCGTTGTCGTCGTATTCGTAGAAGCAGCATCAGTAGTAGCAGTAGTACTTGTACTAGTAGGCGTCGTATTAGTAGTCGCAGTAGGAAGCGTAGTAGTAGCGGTAGTAGTAACAGCAGCAGTCGTAGTAGAAGTAGTAGTAGTAGTGGTAGTAGTAGCAGCAGTAGTAGTAGTAGTAGTAGTAGTGGTAGTAGTAGTAGTAGTAGTAGTAGTAGTAGAAGTAGTAGTAGTAGTAGTAGTAGTAGTAGTAGTAGTAGTAGTAGTAGCAGTAGCAGCAGCAGCAGCAGCAGCAGCAGCAGCAGTAGTAGTTAGTAGTAGTAGTAGTAGTAGTAGTAGTAGTAGTAGTAGTAGTAGTAGTAGTAGTAGTAGCAGTAGTAGTAGTAGTAGTAGTAGTAGTAGTAGTAGTAGTGTATAGTAGTAGTAGTAGTAGTAGTAGTAGTAGTAGTTTAAAGTTATTTTTTAGTAGTTAGTAGTTAGTAGTTAGGATATGTTAGTCGCAGTTCGTTAGTAGGTGTAGTGTTAGTGTAGTAGTCGTAGTCGTAGTAGTAGTAGTATGTAGTAGAGTAGTAGGAGTTAGTAGCAGTAGTAGTTCTTCTAGTAGTAGTATTAGTAAGTTAGTAGGTAGTCGTAGTCGTAACGGTCGTGAGAAGTAGTCGGAGTAATAGGGATTGTAGTAGTAGTCGTGGTAGTAAAGTAGTCAGTCTCGTAGTAGGCCAGTAAGATAAGTGTAGATAGTAGTAGTATGTTAGTAGTAGTAGTAGTAGTAGTAGTAGTAGTAGTAGTAGTAGTAGTAGTATTAGTAGTAGTAGTAGTCGTCGTAGTAGCAGTTGTATCAGCAGTAGTAGTAGGAGCTTGCAGTAGTAGTAGCAGTAGTAATCTTAGTAGTAGAAGTCGTAGAAGTCGTAGTCGTAGTATTGTAGTAGTAGTAGTAGTAGTAGTAGAAGTAGTAGTAGTAGTAGTGGTTTTTGTCGTCGTATTGGTAGTAGTCGTAGTAGTAGTCGTAGTAGTAGTAGTAGTAGTAGTAGTAGTAGTAGTAGTAGTAGTAGTAGTAGTAGTAGTAGTAGTAGTAGTAGTAGCAGTAGTAGTAGTAGTCGTAGTCGTAGTATTAGTAGTAGCAGTCGTAGTAGTAGTAGTAGTAGTAGTAGTAGTAGTAGTAGTAGTAGTAGTAGTGGTAGTAGCAGTGTAGTAGGTTGTGCTAGTCTTAGTAGTAGTTAGTAGTAGTAGTGTAGTACGTCTTCGTCTTCCCGTCGTCGTCGTCGGCGTCGTCCGTCGTCAGTCGTCGTCGTCGTTCGTCGTTGTTGTCATCGAGATAGCTGTAGTAGTAGTAGTAGTAGTAGTAGTAGTAGTAGTAGTAGTAGTAGTAGTAGTAGTAGTAGTAGTAGTAGTAGTAGTAGTAGTAGTAGTAGTAGTAGTAGTAGTAGTAGTAGTAGTAGTAGTAGTAGTAGTAGTAGTAGTAGTAGTAGTAGTAGCAGTAGTAGTAGTAGTAGTAGTAGTAGTAGTAGTAGTAGAAGCAGTCGTAGTAGTAGCAGTCGTAGCAGGAGTAGTAGTAGCAGGAGGAGGAGGAGAAAACGGAGGAAGAGGAGGGGGAGGAGGAAGAGGAAGGGGACGAGGAGGATGAGGATGAAGACGGGAACGAGGAGGAGGATGTGGAGGAGGAGGGGGTTTGGGAGGGAGGAGGAAGAGGAGGAGGAGGAAGAGGAGGAAGAGGAGGAGGAGGACGAGGGGAGAGGAAACGGGAGTGCAAGGCGCTCCGGCGATGGGAGGCGGCAAGAACTCAGACGGCAAGGCGAAGGGCGGCGGCAAGGGCTCCAAGGCCCCACTTGGGCAAAGCAAACATCGGCTTCGGGTGCGGCCGCGCCGATCAGGCACACACGTCCTCCTCGCCTGCCTGCCACAGCGCCTATTCGGCTGCTTTCTAATCAGGGTGGCGCAGTTTCTGCTCTCCCAATTCATGGGGCCCTGGTGGCGGTCTTCAGCACATGCGCTGGATGCTCATGCTTGCGGCGGTGGCGGCCCCTACCTGCTCGATTCTTCGGCGGGGGTCCTAATGAGATGCGGTAGGTTAGTGTCGTGTCGACGTGGCGGTAATCATCCCCGTGGAAGCGTTCAAGGTTGAGCGCGGCCAGTGTCACGGGACCGGCCGATATCAAAAGATCGGCGCTGTCGGAGCCGCGCAGTCAGAAACCATGTCAGAAGTCGTCACGACATGAACCTGCCGTATGTCGAATAGGAGAGCGGCATTCAACTGATGGATCGGCGCTGGGGGCGCCTCTGGGGCTGCCCCCTGGGGGTTCCAGCGCCGATCCAAGAGATCCGCGCGGACCTTAGGAAGCTTGTGTCTACGCTTTTGCAGTTTTTTGCTCCCCGCGGGTGGCGAACCCTCTCTGGATGGGCCCGCCCCGTTGTGTGGCCAGGGGTGATCCGCTACCCGCGGGGCAAGGCGGGGGCCGGCCCCGAGCGCTCGCCACATGGCTGCCGTGCGCCGCACGCGCACGCGAGGTCCGCGCCTCCTCGACTGGCTCGTCCTCCTCGTCCTCGTCTCGCCCCCCTCTTGATACATGTTGTTCCCATCGTACTGAAGGACCACATCCCAGAAACCATTTCGAGCACCCAGAAAGGTATCGAAACAGTGTCGAATGAGTATCGCCTCCCAGGGCCCGACACGTGAAAATCCTACAGTTTCGAAATTCTTTTTGGCGGTCAAGATCAAGAGTAGTTTGGAACACCATCACGCTTGATTGAGGTTGCGAACTTCCTTGAAGCCATTCGTGGTTCATGGCGCCGAGGCCAGACAGCCTCCGATATATATATATATATATATATATATATACATACATATTTATATATATATATATATATATATATAGATATGCGTAGGTAAACTCTGGGAGTTCGCTTGAGCGCAATTTAGCAAACTGCTTCCCTCTTCAGAGTGGCTCGCAATCTCTGCCTGCAGGTGCTTATGCTGCCCGTTGCTCCTAGCAGTAAACCCTTGTCCACCAGAAAAAGCTGCAAACCAATAACCTTTTCGGAGGTCCGCGCGGATTTCTTGGATCGGCGCCCTTCCAACAGTGCCTTCGGCGCCGCTCCTGGCGCGCTCCGCGCGCCAGGGAGGGGGACCAGCGCAGATCCAGGAAATCCGTGCGGACCTCCGCAAGCTTTTGCTTGTGAAGCTTGTCCTTCCTCTGCTCCTCCCCTATCCCCTCTTCCTCCCCTCTCTCTTCTTCCTTCCCTCTCCCTCTTCCTGCCCTCTCCCCTCTTCCTCCCCCTCTTCCTCCCCCCCTCCCCTCTTCCTTCCTCTGCCCTCCCCTCTTCCCCTCTCCTCCCCTGGCCCCCTGAGACGGGGCGGCGCGGGGCCACACTTCCCCTCGCCGCCTCTTCCTGTGCAGCCAAGGCGCTGACGTAAGGGCCACTCTGGTGTTCGGGCCCTTCCTCGGGTCGAGGCTGGGGAGCCTCTTCGGGGCCGAGGTTCGCCGCGGCAAGAGCAGCCTGGTCGTTCCTTGCCCTGCCTTCTTTCTGGTGGCACGGCGATTGTACTCCCCCCTATCCCCCCCCCTCTTTTTGTCCTCTTCTTTCCGTGATAATGGTGTTTGTCTTCCTCTTTTCTCCCGTGTCCATAAGGTTTGCGCATCTTCTGTGGCCTCCTTCTTTTTGTCCTCTTTCTCTCCGTATCAATATTTCCGTCCTGTCGCACCCCGAAGCTAGTCGGAATGGCGTGCCAGGCGTTTCGCCTGAAACGTATTCACCGTTGCGTTTAGCCTGAGACTTGCCAGATGGAAGGCGGGTCGTTTCCAGGATGTGGCTCTTGTCTTTGCGCCGTGCACACTCGTTCTAACACTTTCCAAGTGCTTCGCGGACTGAGGGCGGGTGGGTTTCACCATGTGTCTCTCGCCTTAGCGTCGCGCGCAGTCGGTTCAGATATTTGCAACAGCTTCACGGATCGAGGGTGGGTGGTTTTCAACATATGGTTCTGGTTTTGCGCCGCGCGCACTCGATTTTTAAACGATTCAGTAGTTTCACGGATTGAAGGCGGGTGGTGTTCAAAATGTGGCTCTCGCCTTCACCGCCGCGCACATCTGTGTCAACAGAATTGTAAGAGCTTCACGTCTTGAGAGTGGGTGGTTTCCAACATGTGGGCCTTCCCTCAGCGCCGCGCAGACTCGTCTTAAACAATTGCAACATATCCAAAAATTTAGGGCGGCTCGTTTTCAAAATGTTGCTCTCGCCTTAGTGCCACGCGCGCTCGCTTGAAACTTTCGCATTCGTGTTGCGGATTGAGGGCGGGTGATTTTCAACATGTGGTTCTCGCCTTACCGCCGCGCACATTCGTTTGGAACGTGCAAGAGTTTCACGGATTGAGGGCGGTAGGTTTTCAATTTGTGGCTCTGGCTTTTGCACCGGGCGCGTTCGTTGAAAAAAGTTGCAACCGTTTAACATGTTGGTGGCGGCTCTGTTTCAAAATGTGGCTCCCGCCACAGCGCCGCCGCGCACATTCGATTAAACATTTGCAAGATTGTCACTTATTCGTATGCTTAACGTAGCAGAAGCGTTGTTTGGGAACGATTCAGGATTGCCAGGGCCCAACAATTATGTTGATTCGTGGTGTTGAAGCGCCAGGAATGGCGCTCTGGCGCGATTCAGAATTTACAGAACGCAGCACTCAGCTTGATTCGTGACGTTGAAGTCCCGAGAGCGGTGTGTTGATACGCTTCAGGATTTTCGAACGGTTGTCTCCCAACAGGGCACTTCCTTCAGTGGAAGTGAATCCGTGTAGGTGCCTGTCGAAAGGGAGCTTGGGGGAAGGGGTTCATTCCAATGTTGTTAATGGTTCTTGGGTTTACACTGGTTCTTGTCCTCTTCCTCGTCCTCGCACAGCAGATAGCTAAGCTCGCTGAGCGGCGGCAGCTGATGTGGGCACGAGGAGCTACACAGTTCGAAGCCACCCGAACGAGGGAGGGAGAGGGAGAGATAGAGCGAACGAGCAAACGAATTAGTTATTTATTTTTATATATATACACATGTATACATACATACACAAATAAATCATTATCCAGTGTAAGCATACTCCCCAAACGGCGATTCAACTTCAAGGGTTTTTATTTTCCCTCTACGGAACTGGGCCTGTGTGCCCGTCTGGGGGCTGTGTTGCCGCCGTCGCCCCGTCGCACGTTCATCGCCGCCCGTCGTCTGGGCCTGTCCGCCCGTCTGGCGGGTATGTTGCCGCCGTCGCCGCCTCGTCGCCGCTTCGTCGCCGCCCGTCGTCTGGGCGGGTCTGCCAGTCTGGTGGCTATGCTGCCGCCGTCGCCGCCCCGTCGCCGGTTCATCGCGGCCCGCATAGATTGCACCACGTGGACGGTTCCGCCTACATTGCACCACATGGATCGCACAGCATGACATTTTTTTCGAGAACAGGAATTAGGATCTACCGCCCACCCGGAGCCAGGATCTACCGCCCACCCGAAGCCAGTTTACGTCTGATTTTGCTTTGAAATCGCACCATCCAAACCAAGCTGGGTTCGACCCCCCCCGCCACCCTGTGTAAATATCATGATGCGTGCTCACGCGTTCATCATAAACCAACAAGTTCCAGGACTCTTTGCGCAAATGGGACGAAAGGCGCGCGCGAGCGCTGTCGCAGGCGCGTGCCGGAATCTCTCACATGTCCGAGGTTTCGTTGGAAAAGGCGAGAGTTCCGAAAACATGTAGAAAAACACATGTTCTTGCGATGTGGTTTTCCAAAATAAAAGCATCTGCGCGCGTTCTTGTGCATTCTTGAGTAACCATCTTTTTGTATAGTATGTTCACCAAATGCGTTACAATGGGCCTGCCTCGCGCGCGTGTCGAAATCATTCGGCCGCCCTTGCGCGTGTGCCGGGGGACGCGGTTTTTGTCAACGAATACCATGCGGGCCACTCGCGCGCGTCGGCCGCGGGCGCATGTCGAAGTCTTTCCAAAGCCTTCATCACCGACACGTGGGCACCATCATCGTCATCGACGTGATCAGCATCGGCGCCGTCATGGGCCTTGCCGACGTCATCGCCTTCATCGTCACCAGCATCGCCAGTATCAACATCGTGTCTGCCATTACTGTCGACTTTGCCTTGATGCCTCGCCCGCCCGAGTAACTGACTCGCACTGGAGTGCCCGCTCTTCAGCGTGGCTTGCGAGATGCGCTGGGAAGTGCCCATCGGTCAGCGCCACCGCGGCCGCGTCGGTCGCGCCAAACTAGCTGGCCGCACTACGCGCGAGCCTACGCGCGCCAGCGCGGCCGCAGCAATGTGCCAGCAGCGCCAAGCAGTCATGGCAATCGTCGCCACATGGGTTGTGCAAACCAAAGTGCGGGTGGGCGGGTGGGATGATTGCGCGAACAGTGGAGTTGACAACTTCAAGTTCGGTGGGGTGAATTCTCTGTTCTACGAGAGTATCAGGACCCCCCCGGATTTATCGAACCAGTTTTTGGTATTGCGACTTGCATACGGCTCTGCCTTATTTTTCATCTTAGTTTTGAATTCTTACCATCCCAGGCAGTTCCCTATCGCCCCCTCATCATCCTTTGCAGAAAGCCTCATGTGCGCAGTCGTTTGTCAAAGCTCCTCATTGCCCAAGAACTAGTTGCAACACGTGGGACGACTTGAACCCGCGCGCGTGGTCGCGCGCGCGTGCAGATATCTTTCAGCAGCCTTCGGTGTCGTAGGGATGTCAACATCGAGTGCCCCGCTAACATTTTAAACATGGGTATCGCCATACGAGTTTCCAAACACACATACGCTCTTAATATAACCGTCGGTCCAACATGTTCATCAAAGGCTACCTATCGTGCCCGCGCGTGTCGAAATCGTTCGGACGTCCCTGCGCGCGTGCTATCGCAAGAACCCCTTGCAACAGATGGGGCGAACTGCGCGCGCGCGCCGACTGCGCGCATGCCGAATTCTTTCAAAACTTTGGGTTCCGTCAGGCTTTCAACACCACGTGCCCCGAAACTATACATAAAACACGTGGGTGCGCACAATCATTTTCAAAAGAAGGTTTGCGCGCGCGCGCTCGTGCCATTGTTTGAGAAAACCGGTGGTTTCCCAAGATTTTCAAATTCGACCACCCAGGCGTTTCGCGCTGCATGTCGCAATCATTCGCGCGCGTCGAACTCCGTCCGGGATCTTAATCACCGACGCGAGGGCATCGACATCGTCATCGGCGTGATTAGCGTCGTCGCCGTTGGCCCTGCCGTTGTCATCGCCATCATCGTCACCCGCATCGTTACTATCATCATCATAGTGTTTACCGATGTCGACGCCACCATGATACCGCGCCCGCCCAC